CTTTTTACACCGTTCGACTGCTTTTAGAACGAAAACGTTGATTCATTCTTGCTTAGCTCCATAATAAGTTCCAGAATGTTATGGAAGGTATTTTTATGTCATGCAAACCAAAACAGACAATGACTTTTCTATTTAAAGGGTACCTGATTAGCCTCTTCGACATTGCACGGCGCCCAAATACGAGAATTGTGCTTCTGTATTTCGACACTAATTCAAATTATAATCGCAGCGAGAAAATCGGGGCCCGAGGATGATTATAGTAAATTATTGCAGAAAAAAATCTGCAAAACATCATTGCAGATCAGCGAGCCCTCTAAGAACTCCGGGCTCGGAAGGAATTGTCCCCAATCTGCCCCCAATCTCTTTCACTGATTACCGCTTACACATTTGATTTATTACACGCGTCTACGATGTTGTCTGACAATTGTAGAGAACTACAAGTTTTGAGCCACCTTCGAATATGCAATGGATTGTAAAAGGAATGTTTTCTTGACAACTGCTATTAATTGGAACACTGATAACCGGTAGTCCAAGACTGTGTTAATATTTAATTCTAATATGCTTGTATTTTTCTACATTTCTATATCTCAACCAAAATATCTTAAACTTCCAACTCCCAGGAGGTAAGCTCCTTTCATAGAATCATCAAACATTCTATACGTAGAAGGTTAGCTGCATCAATTTCCTCAAACTTGTATGGAGCAATGCGGTCTTCCTTTCAACTACAAGGTTTTGTCGATTTCGAAAAGTAAGGACGTGTGATACGGTAAAAATTTAATTTGTTTGAAAGTATCTGATTAAAGTTGGGGTATGAAAAACAGAAAATTTGTGTTAATCTACTGACTAGTACTATCTTTCTTGCTTCCATGCAATATACTTAACCTATGTAAGTTCCTCTGATGAACTAAAATTTTATATACATATAAGGCACACAATTTATGAAAGCAATCAAAAACGAGAAAAAACGTTAACTTCGTTATGTTACTTTCTGTAATGCAAGCGATTGTTCCTCAGATTGGTTACGTTAGGTTAAGTTACTTGTAGGTTGAGCTTTGTGGCTGATATCAGATTGGGAAATCTAACCTGTTGCTCCATTGAGAGGCCAAATCCGGAAGATTGACCAAACCTACACACTAGCGAATGACCAGCATTCATTGAGCTCACTTGTAACCCAGTCATCCAGCAGCGATTGGCAAGAGAACAACGGAACTTTAATCCAGTTCAAAAGTACTGAATAATGACCTGCAATGTGTACCTTAAATTGATTGAAAATTTAGAGTATACTTCTCCACAAACTTTCCGACTGAGCTTCGAACTGTATGTAAAGAAGCCCACTATTTATTTCTTACTTCTTCCACATGTCGCTTGTAGCTATTATGTAGTACAAAGAAGAAGCCACCGCGAGTAATCTCGGCAATTAGTAATCAAATGATTAGGAATATGAAGTCGAAATTGCTAAGAATTTCACAACGTCCACACCTAAATGTCCTAAAACTGACAGCAAACTCTAAAAAATAACCCTATCTACTACTTGGAACCATATTCTAAACAGGCTACCCTAAACTTGAGCCTTCTTAAAATGTATGTATTCGTCGAAGGTACAAGTATTTTGATAAGAAACCACAAAATGGAGTAAATTTTGATTTCAATAAATCATCTAGGGGAAAAAATGTATGCCTACATACATACGTATGTACATGCATCAGCAAAAACTTAGATGTGCCCACTATCAACTCCGCGTCTTAAATTCAAACTGATTCAACAACCCTTTCTTAACTCTAATTCGCCAGCGACAGAACCGAAAGTGGCAAAACCACAAGCAAAATATGAAAAGGCCAAAGTCATCAAATTTCAATGAATTCAAGTCATCACGCGATAGCAATCCAGTCATTGCCTCAAACACAAATTGCAAGTGGGAAAAGATTTGAATAAAATCGAAGCATACTGTAGTGGCCTACGGCAAGCGACACTGCTTAACGAATCCGTATTCGTATTCGTATGTGCGTATGTATGTATGGATGCCTTTAGAGTACCGCGTAGTTGTGGTGCGATATTCAAATAACCTAAGTCAGCCCGCCCGCGTAGCTACCCCCCACCTACCCGTCATACACGCGCACAATGATGGATGATTGCACGGCGAATGTGAATGTGATGGCGACGTGCATTGTTGGGGCATGAATGTGGCACTCAACGATCCTCCTTTTTGCCTTTTATTAGGTGCAAATTTATGCTGAATTTCTAATGTCATCGCTGTTGTGGCATAGCGATGAGAATATGACGACAAAACCAATCACAGAAGCGGCGCAATTCATGCCTTCTATTTTTGAGTCCATCCATCCGCCATAAGAAATTCGGCTCGTTTATTATTCTTTCGGCGTATGAGTGTGTGGCGCGGTATAAGGGAGTGTGAGCTGCCTAAAGGGTTACCTTTCGTATGCCATTACAATTTACTCCGCCGCTCAACTGCTTCATCTTATGCGTTATTTATTCCGGTTTTTATTGCAGCATTTCCTGTCGGCATCTGTGCAAAATTTGTAGCCTTTCTTACACCATTTCTTTAAAGCGCAGTTAGTATTGTGGCCAAACACACTTGCCACCTACGCAAGCGGCTTCTGAAATATTAACAGATGTATGGATATATGTATATGTTTATATATATATATATATATATACGGTTATGTATGTGTCTATGTATTTTGGTACTGCCTGTCCGGTAGTTTTTGGCATCTGCTGGTGTCATATTTTTTTCACCCCTTTGCTTCCTAAATTTTACGTTATTCTTTTTTGGTTGGCATCTTTGACCTTCCTGTTTTTTATGGTGCGCCTTAACGACCATAAAGTGGAAATTCTCTCACAATTTATAACGTAGGCGCTTCTGTAAAGGATTTGCAGAAATATAAAGAATTTAGATGCATATGTGCCTACAGTTCAATTAGGATGCCCACTTCTTCTCTATTTTGTGAGCCAACTTACTTGTAGAATAAGGTATCTAGTATCATGTAGTGTAATGTAGGAGATGACAAGCTGACATACCCATTTAAGTCCTAGACCTTTTCTTGGTCCACTTTCAAAGGTCAATCCTTCGACGAACCTTACCTTACCAGTGGAAATTTTCCACGGGTTATTTTCAAAGGCTATTATGCAATTTCATAAGAAATTGTTAAGATCGGACCACTATAACATATAGTTGTTATACAAGCTGACCAAGTAAAACCAAAACTTTTTTGTACTCCTTTATGCTAAAAAAATTCAGCTGTGTAGGGTACTATAGCTTCGGTGCAGCCGAAGGTAACGTTTTTTTTTTTATTTAATTTTACTCAAGAAATCTACTGCAAGACCCTTATGGCCCATTACAACTTTCCTTGCTTTGCGTTACAGTTCATACTTTAATAACGAAGCGAAGAAAGCAAATGGTTTGCCAGAATGGACGCTTTGCTTTCAGTATATCTCTCTAATAAAAATGGCGACTGTTGCTTGGCTAAGCGTAAAAATATGTGAGTAGCCTAGTCTGTCTGTCTGTCTGACGCAAAGCGAAGCTGAATCAGCCATTGCGGTATCGGGATTAGTGATGCGCCCTTTACTGTTCCAGAGTCCGGACCATTATCATTTGCAAACCTCCCGAAGTGTTTGGGCCATTAGAAAGCATTAGCCTTCCTAAACCATTTTAGGACTTGTAGGCTCTGCAGTTGGGACGCACATTACAAATGGAAGTAAACGCCATCTCTTATGTAACGTTATTATTAAACTGTCTGGAGAATACCCTTTTTTGGTTAGGTAGCTGTGAACATGTGCAGTCTGCATAGTGAAAAGTGCTCCGTAATATCTGAAAATATTACATCAATAGTATATATAAAAGTGAAAGAATATTAAATTAATGTCTCATATAAGTTTCCTTAAAAGAAAATAATAATTCTTATAAGAAATTATAAAGGATGTACAAAGAAAAGTTCGATTAAATTTTGATATTGAACCATAATTGAATTTCGTACAACAAAGAAAGATGTGTGCGACGTAATATTGTGAGATGTAATAATAAAAAGCATACCAAACATTTACGTTGATTGAGAATCAGACATCATAGAGTGAATTAATGCATTGATAATACACGAAAATAAAAAAATTACTCTGGAATTATTTGGAACATATCTTTTGTTTTTTTTCCTGTATCGTGTACTTACAAAATGCCACCCAAAAAAGTAAATACAACACAACAGATACCGCCATCGTCAAAGGATATTGAAACCTTATTCAAAATACACTTTGAACGTTTTACAGCAAATTATGAACGTGAGTTCAGGGACCTTAAAAAATCATTTTTAATGGAAATCAAGGACTTAAGAAAAGAGGTAAGCAAACTGTCAGAACAAAACGTCTCGCTATCAAATCAATGTTCTGCCCTGGATGACAGACTTACATCAGTTGAAGACAAGCTAAACGTAGATATGAGGCTGCCTACCAGCCAGGAAGAGTTTTCACTGAAATGTCGGAACGAAAACGCCGTGAAACCTACGTGATTGCCCTAAATATTCCTGAGTCTGATAAAGCTGCTGGAAAGGACCGTTTAGAGGATGACAGAACAAAGTTAGTTACAGCTTTGCCTCCCAGTCTCAAGGCCACTGAACTCAAGTTACGTAGACTGGGTCGTCCTACACCTGGACGTACACGTCCTCTACGCATTGCCACCCGCTCAGCTGATGCACTTGCCATTATCAAATACAGACCAACAGACGAAAACTCAGGTTTTATTTTCAAGACTGATCTAACACCCTCTCAACAACTTCATTTGAAAAATTTGCGTCAAGAGCTTGATTCAATCGTGAAGAGTGGTGATGACAGGAACACAATTAAATATATCCATGGTGTCCCTAGAATCGTTAAAAAAAGTTTTCGTCCGCTCAATGAGCAAGAAGAAAGTATCTTACGTCCACCTGTGCTACCAGAACGTCAGAGGTCTGCGTACAAAACTCTCAACATTTCAAACAGCATTGACGGCTAACCAATACGACGTTGTATGTATTTCGGAATCCTGGCTTCACTCATCCATATGTGATGGTGAAGTCATTGATTCAACATATAGTATTTACCGTAAAGACCGTGTTTCTCTCATTAACGAGCAGGTACGTGGTGGTGGTGGTGTCTTCATCGCCTGTAAACGTAGTCTCCATACAGAACAAATTGCAATAACAAACAACGATTTAGAGCAAATATTCATCCGGGAGCTTCTCGCGATATGATCATCGGCTGCATCTACATACCTCCTCAATCAACTCTTGAGATCTTCGAGTGCCACATAGCTACCGTTTCATTTATAATGGACAAATACCAAAACTCCAACGTCATGATTGTCGGCGACTTCAATATTCCTAGCAGCTTGCCTCGTGTCGAATGTGAAAAGCAACTTTATGATGGCTTTGCCTCATTAAACTGCACTCAACAAAATTACATTCAAAATGCCTGGAACTCAACACTTGACCTTTGTTTCAGTGACATTGACTCTTCTCCGGAACACGCAGTTGCTCTTGTCCCGGAAGATAAGTACCATCCTGCTATCGACATCTTGCTAAATTTTCGGCCGGGGTTGACGCCAGATAATTCCTCATCATACGTATTTAACAAGGCTAACTACGCAGCCCTTAATACCTCTCTCTTAAGAACGAACTGGATTGACCTCTACAAACTCGAGACTATTGACAGTAAGTTGGACTTTCTCTATGATAAAATCTTTGAAGGTGTAAACCAGTTTGTTCCAGTACACGTACACAAGCCAAGTAACTATCCATCTTGGTTCTCACATGATCTCATTCACAAAGTCAAACAGAAGAAATCTGCACACCTGATACATAAAATTCGGAAAACTAAGCCAAATTATTTACGATTCAGCAGGTTAAGATTGGAATGGAAAAAGTTAAGTATCGATTGCTACAAAAGTTATGTCGACAAGGTAGAGGACAAACTGCAATCGGGGATCAAAGCATTCTGGAATTTTATCAAGGACAAAAACGGTTGCACCGGTGACATACCATCTTCCGTAGCCTGGAATGACCGCTCAGCAGATACGGGACCAGGTACCAGTAACCTCTTTGCGTCCTTCTTCCACAGCATCTACGCGCCATCGAATAGCAACGACCCAGGTATTGCAACCTTCAATCCTGGTACACAGCGCACACACTTGGATGCCCTGACAGTGACCTACGATGCAGTACTCAAAGAACTCCTTGCTCTCGACCCCAGCAAAGGTCCAGGCCCCGATGGTTTACCTAACATATTCATCAAAAACTGTGCGGTAGGCCTATGTGAGCCTTTGACACATATATTTGGCGAATCTCTTCACCATGGTACCTTCCCGACATACTGGAAACTGTCATACATCTCACCGATTCATAAAGAGGGGTCCAAGACCTTGGTTACCAACTACCGTCCTATCTGCATACAGTCTGCACTTCCAAAACTATTTGAGAGGTTAGTGCTTCCACAGATATCTTTGCTTCTGATTTCCTTCTGTATGCTGATGACCTCAAAAATATTTAGACCGATTACTTGTGAGACAGACATCATAATTTTGCAACAAGACATAAATATCCTCAGTGACTGGTGTCGAGTGAACAAGCTGAATCTCAACGTAAACAAATATGCGGCCGTATCTTTCGCTCGCTCACACTCACCGATCACTCACGAACTACAAACTTGATGGGCTTGAGATGGCGGAGGTCGAGAACATAAAAGACTTAGGTATCATTGTTCATAATAAGCTCACCTTCTCACACCACGCAGGAAAAATTACATCAAAGGCGTTCAAAGCCCTTGGATTTATACTGAGGAGTGGTAAAGATTTCAAAAATCCTTGGACACTCATTAGACTATTCAAGTCACTTGTACTACCAATTTTGGAATATGGTTCGGTAATCTGGTCTCCCAACACTAACACGACAATCAATAAAGTTGAAAAGGGGCAGCGTAAATTCTGTAAGTCACTGGCCTATAAACTATCGTCACCAAGTCACATCTGCACTACTGATAAGTCTACCAGTGCTACTGTATAAACAAACTGTCTTCTCGTCGACAGGTCGCTGACCTCTGCTTTTTCTACAAAGTAGTCAATAACATCACTGATGCTCATGAGATCCTAAACAGTTTTGAACTCGCCCCTGCTGGTCTTACTCTGAGGCGAAATAGATTACTAAAAACATCGAAATCTAAGAAAAATTATGTTATCCATGGTCCTCAGAATAGACTGGCTAATTTAGTAAATTCACTTCAAGGTAAAATTGATTTCTATGGAGGAACATACGCTGGTTTTACCGAAAACACCAAGAGACATCTGCTCGTCTGAATTTTATCTAAATCAAGTCTGAATTACATATTAACTTACAATTATTTAAATATTTTCCAGATATTGCACTAATATACCCTAGCCACTTTTGTATAATACTTTAATTCTTTATTATATCTATGTATATTGCCGATTGGCGTTTAAATAAATAAATAAAATAAAATACTACCGAAAAGAAAAATATGATATGGATGAGACCAAAAATTAGACAATAAGCAATTTTGTATATTATATAATATAATAGTACAAACTATTTGACTGCTTTGATTCATATTACTCTACAAAATAGTAAAAAACGTACCAATTTCCCAGCTACTTCGTATATAGTCTTCTACCTATAAGGATTTTCGTTATTTTAACAGACTCTATACCGAATATGAAATCATGTTCACAATATAACTGAATTATGTCAAAAGTTCATGAAGTTCAGTCGTAATTTCGGACTTTCGCCTGAATTTAAAGCGTTTATGTCGATCAATATGTTTAATATTTTAATGAAATTAAGTGGACAATTGTTCTTAAAAATATTAATAATAATAATAATAATAACGTCGCACCTTGGTCTTAATGTTGTATTACTTTTATATTGATTTCCGATCCTCTGGTTTTCCTGGGATACCCACTACATTAGATTTAGCCCACCTTTGATTGAGTTTGTATCACATATGTACATATGTATGCATATGTAAATCATTTGAGTTTATTGGGCTGGGTGAAAACTAAGTAAGTATATGACCTAAAATTTAAGCTAAATTATATCAGAGAATATTAATATTTCATTATTATATTAATTTATTAACATTCTTTGTCATCACTAATTTAATTGATATCGTGTTATATTTTGCTCTTTCGTGGGATGCTTATTATACACAAAAATACCATTCAATCTGGTCTAACCGTGTGCACACACCAAATGTGGGAAATTACCGAATGCACAAACCACTGCTGAACGAACTAACTTTCGTGCTGCCACGTAGCTTAAAAACTCGTAAAGTTTATACTAAAACTTTACACCAAAGAGATACTAATATTGAAGATAATTTCAAATTTAGCCTATAACGCACCAAGTTACGGCCAAAACGGGACATTGAATGCCTCATGGTTTGTATATAATTATAATATTAATTTAATAACATGCCACATTCGTTAAAAACAAATATAGTGGAGTAATATGGTAACGAATGATTAGAAAACATAATCAGCTTTCAAACAAACTCAACAATCCTTATGTTTTTATTATATTTTAATAACGCGAAACAGAGAACGTATATTCTTCTCTGCGCGAAACCTAACATTCCGATAACTACGCCCACATAGTCGATAACTTTCTACCCAAACGCTTATCGAATATCTCAGTAATAATAACACCCATTCTATTACTTGTAATTAGATCGTTTGTTTATGTTCACATAATCGCGACTGCCATTGATTACTTGATAAATAGAAGTGACAAAAAATATTATACCAAGTCGTAAAAAAGACAAATGTTATTGTTAACTACAAGCAAATTGTAAATGTTGCTACTGCCTATCGCTTGCAGTAAGGGTTGAGTTAGCCAACAGGGCGAATCAATGTAACAAACACCGTACGAGTCCTAAACAATAATTACTTTGATAAGTGAGACAAAGAACAACGAAACTAACCACAAGTATCATGGCATTCAGAAAAAGGAGTAGAGCAACGGATCGACAAGTACTTGTCGAAAACGAGCAGGTACCATATCGGGGTAGTGCAATTGACGTCAACTTTGGTAGCTCAGCAAATCCAGACAGATTTAGCGCGATTGCTGAATCAAGCGATGAGGATGAAATAAAGTGTATGCCAGCAATTTTGCCAACAATGAATAACGAATTGGATTCAGAACAAATACGTAGTCACGGACAGATATTGATGACTGATGCGCCACCTGATCGCTATAACTATACTTATACCGTTTTCTATCTGCTGGGCATTGCCACTATGACACCATGGAACTTTTTCGTAACAGCAGAAGATGTAAGTGGATCGAGTGTTTTGTAAAAAAGCAACTAAAACAAAAAACTTACTGTTCCTTCACAATCAATGTTGTGTTTTGCGCAGTGCTGCACTCTAAAAAAAACAGTGTTTGATAACAAGTTGCAGTTGCACAGCTGTAATCGCTTTCTTCATAGGAAAAACACTACAACATTTCTTTTTTTTTTTTTTTTGTACCCAAAACTTCCACTACTGCGCTGAAACCATATATTTTCAAAAGTTGAGATATAAAATATGAAAACCTTGCTTTTAGTCTGTTCATTGTGTATACATACATACATACATACATATATATTTCTTTGTAATACTTATCAGTATGAGGAAAATGAGTCCTATTATTTTAACATAAATCTTTTGTAGTAAACAAAGCTTATCAGTTTCTAAATATGCATATTCTACACATAATGAATAACAGATGTTAATGTACAAGTGTAGAAATATTTAGTTGAATGGATATAGTATTTAAATATGTATGTAGTACCATCATACATATGAGTAATAACATGAATATGCCTTGGCCTAAAAAAATTTGCAATTAAATACGTATGATCTAGACAAATATACGTATATACGTGACTCACTAAAGTAAAAACTAAGATCAATAGCACATAATTGTAAATTTTTATAAATGGTTTTACAATTAGGCAAGTTTGGTCGGAACCGCCGATATCGGATCGCAGTTTCTGTATGGAAAAATTCGATATGTATATATAATAGTTTTAACATATTCTGAAGTATATTAATCTAAAAGCGTTCTTACTTTTAGTATTGGATGTTTAAATTCAGAAACACGACTATCAACGAAACCTCCGATGTTATACCAGAACTGACACCAATGCAAAAAAGCTTTACCTGTGATCTAACGCTCGCTGCATCTATTTCGGGCACTATTTTTCTCATACTTAACGCCATTTACGGGCATCTCGTTTCACTGAAAGTGAAAATGTTAGCAACACTTTTCACTATTTTAGGCATTTTCATAATAACCACCAGCTTTGTTGAAATCAACACCGACCACTGGCAGGAACAGTTTTTCTTAATCACATTGTTTACGGTTGTAATCATTAACAGTAAGTACTATATAGCAAACCATATCTGTATTGTGTCTGTTAACCAAATTTTATATTGTTTCAGTATGTTCGGCCATAATGTCTGGCGGTATATTCGGTGTAGCCGGTCTCTTCCCATCACATTATATGACTGCTTTGGTCAGTGGTCAAGCCTTGGGCGGTATATTGTCGGCGCTCGCTTTCATTTTAGTGCTAGCGTTTGGCTCTGCTCCAGATGTTACTGCTCTGATATATTTCATCATTGGTAGTGCTTTGGTTTTTCTATCTATAATCTGCTATATAATTATGTCACATCAGCCATTTTTTAAATATTCTGTGGAGGGAAATGATAAGTACAAAATTTTGGCCGACACACCCTCACATAGTCGTAGTGTTGACACTGGCGTAGATTTAGACCCCAATGTAAGGGATGTGTTTGGAAAAATTTACGTTGAAGCTGTCAACATATGTCTACTCTTTGCGACCACGATTTCGGTATATCCATCGGTCACAGAGCTAATGCAATCTGAAAATTACGGTAAAGGACACGCATGGAATGGTAAGGCGCTTTATTTAGTGTGAATATTAGATATTATTGTATATAAAAAAACTAAATCATTTGCAGATATTTACTACATGCCAGTGGTAAATTATCTCTTCTTCAATTCCGGTGACTACTTTGGCCGTATACTGGCCGGTTTGTGGGAGCGAGTAAGTTGCTGAATAAGTGAGCTTTAAATCTGAGTGATATTAATTACATTTCATTGCAGCCGCGCGATAATCCACACACGGTGCTTTTAATGACTGTGATACGTCTGCTGTACGTGCCGTTCTTTCTCTGTGCGAATAGTAATGTGCACAATTTCCTACCCGTGCTGGTGCATACCGATATAACATTTATCATATTGATGATTAGCTTTGGTATAACTAACGGTTATTTGGCAAATATCAGCTTAATAATGGCGCCGAGGCAAGTGTGAAGTCAATTCACAAAATAATGCTTTTAATTTTAAGTTTATGCAAATTTCAGATCTGTCATGCGGCACGAAAAAGAAATGGCTTCATCCATTATGGCAGCAAGCCTTAGTTCAGGACTGGCAATTGGCTCATTACTAAGCATGGCTTTTGTACAAATGCTGTAATATCGGGTGTGGAACGCAAAACTTAGTGCCTTGTACATAGAAATATTATATTGTAATGAAAACATATTGAGAAATAGGCGATTTAGAATTTAATAATGAGATTAGCTCAGCCGAAAGCGTGCCAAAATCAAAATTTTGATTAAATTACTTCTTAGATTTTTTCTCTAATTTATTGTTATTTAAATTTTTGTTTAATTTATTTTTTTATTTAATATTTTGTTTATTTATTTTTTTATTTAATATTTTGTTTAATTTATTTTTTTTAATTATTATTTTTTATTAATTATTTTATTTGTAGTTTTTTAATTTTTTATGTGTAGTTTTTTAATATTTACTTTTTTTATCTTTTTGTAATTTTTTTATGTTTATTTTATTTTTTTTTTTTTGGATTTTTGTTTGATTTTTAATTTTAATTTTTTTTCTTGTAAGTTTTTTCCAAAAGACAATGTATCACGCCAATTATGTTATAATTCACTATGTTTATCTACGTTTTATTTTTAAATAATCGGACAAGTAAAACTATATTGAATCAAGGTCAATGCATAATAAGTGAAAAGTATTGTTGTCAAATTCATGTTCTAAGAAAAGATCAAATGAGAAGTAAGCAAAAATCAGAAATATCGTTATAAGTCTTCTTTAAATTTATAACAATTTATGTAGAACAATTTTAAACTAAATATTTTTTAAACACATTAATAAAATAACGTCTTTTGACCAAATGCTTTTAACCAATTACATTTTTTTTTAATTTAGGACCAAAATAAAATATATGAAAATAATAATTAATATATAAATAATCTCAATTCTTCAATATGACTGTGGTGACATGTTTGAAGTTGATTAATACAGCGTTCCAAATTTCTTTCTAACCTCATCAAAAAATAATTATTAATATAAAAATTTTATTTCTTACTAATTTCTAAAAACAAAATATTTGTAGTATTTTTATTATGATTAATAATAATAATCAAAATTTATTTATTGCCGATTTAAGAAAAATAATAATTTTTTACTAATTTTATTAACGAATAATTTAAATTAATTTTTTTTATCTAAAAATCAGCAATATTAAACTTAAAATAATAATATTAAAAAGTTTATTTATAAGTACTATATTATTTTCTTATGTATCCCTTCAAAAAGTTTTTTCTTCGATCGATATTATTATGGGCAGTTGGTCTAATGTGAGAGCATAGGTCGCCAAGTTATGCGGTTTATCAGACCACCACTAACGAAGGTGATATCAGGCGTGCTGCTACAGGTACCCATAACTCTGGTGGGGGCTTCGTAATTCATTGTGCAGAATGTCGAATCGTCTATCTGTTCCACTAGCTCCATCCCCCTACGATAGTTTCACAGGCAGGAGTGCCAATAACCGCGCGTTAAAGTCGCCAAGTACCAATCGGTTCTCACCACGAAGCAACATATCTATATTCGGGCGATATCTTGTTGGACAACAAGTAACTGAGGGGATGTATATATTAAATTTTCGAGCTATTAGGATAATATTTCTGCGGTCGATGTTGCCATCTACAATATAAGACGATACTGCACTGTGTGGTGCAAAATAAAGGCTAGGCCATCATCATCGCGATCTTTACGTAATACGTTGAAACCAGCACATCTCAGAAGATCTAAGCGGCTATTTAACTTGGCTTCTTGGACCGCAGCTATCGATATGATCTCCCGGCTCATCAATTCGATCTCTAGTCCGTTTCAGTTCTGTTGTAAATGTCGGGTTAATCGTGGTAAAGTGTAGTGATCTTAGAAGTAAGGGAGTTGTGTACAGGTGGTGGTTCATCTGCATTACCCGCAGGGCCGATTGTCGCACTTGCGTGTGTGTAGTGATCAGACTGGTAGTCATGCTGCCTAGGTATTGCTCTAAAAGTAAAACTTATTTATCTCTCCGAGAAGCTGCTCATTTGTCGGAACCGCAGACATTAGATCGCTATAGCATATATTAAGACCAGAAAATTTCGTTAATTTTAAATAAAACGAAAAATTTTGAATCTTCATCAATATTTATTTAGTTGCCACCTCTTTTCAACATCATCGTAACATGCCCTGTTGGTGCTGTCCGGGATCGACTTCAGTTTCATCTGCGAATTTTCTTTTACGGCCCAAATCGAATTGAAACGGTGGTAACTTGAGTTTTGGAAAAAAAGTCACATAGGGCCAAATCCGGTGAATGCTTTGGTTGATCGATGGTATTGAACGAGTTTTTTGTTTAAAATCGTTCGAAACTACAGCTCGGTGCCATGGCGCATTATCGTCATGAAAAATCCATGAACTGTTGGTGTACAATGCCGGCCGTTTACAACGGATGCTTTCGCGCAAATGCCTCAAAACACTCAAATAATATTCTTTATTGACCGTCCTTTATTAGTTAAGGCTATTATAGCTTGGGGCAGTGGAAGTCAACGTTTTTTCATTTTTTTAAATATTTTTAGAAAATTTTTGCTTTTCTATTCTTGTAAAATCAACAGTTTTCCACTAAGGGATTATATATTTAACAAGTTTGCAGAAAATTTATTAATTCTCATACACTCTCCCACTACCAAATCAACGAACGAATCTTATCGTCTACACATAATTTCTTTATTGTTTTTAAATTCAATTATTTATAACAAATTCATGGACTTAAATTATATGGAACGATATTTGTTTAAGCCTCATTGTTTGGATTAACTTTTGACATGCAAGTAGCACATTTTAGTATAAAATAAATTTTAAATTTATATAATATTAGTAATTTCAAATAATAAATTATGTAGTTTAGTAATTATTTTTAATTAGTATAATTTTTAAATTTTTGCGTGTACAATTTTTTTGTTAATGATAAATGGAGGAATGCTAAAAGCAAAATTTTAAACTTAACTGTAATTTAAGCATAAAATACGGTTTTCATTTAAAACATTATAACAGCTTCAATAGTTGGTTAAAGTTTTAGTTTACACTTAGTCGAAAGTAAGTGATAAAGCTTTGCTCCAATTACTCATATCCGATTTGTTTAAGGTTCGTTTTTTTGTTTTTATATTTTTTACGTTTGTGCTATGTACAAATACAGCAACAACATACATTTACAACACCAACTAACAATGATTAATTGCAATTGAATATATTTTTTTTTAATATTGTGCATTTTATACACATATACATACATATGCAGTTCCATTAATATGCCCACAAATGAACCTATGTTCGTTACATAATACTATTGATTAATTGTTTTAATTATTTAGATTTTTTTTACTGACATTTATTTGAAATTTATTGCTATATTTTCTATTGCCAACTAAAATATATATTTAACGTTATTTTGTTAAACATCTAAACACACACTTAGACACCGATTGAAATACATTGAAAATTTTAAGTCGTTTCTACGAACAAATGACACACAAACGTTGCTATTGTGAACTAATCGGTTAGTTTTTACTGGTGAAAAACAATGTCAGACATATTCTCATAATAATACTAACATTCTATACTCGTCTGCAGTAAGAGGTTAAATAAAGAAAAATAATAAATTTTACATAAAAAATAATTTTCGTTCGATTAGTAAAAAAAATACCGCTTTTCAGTCTTAGATTGTTTATTGCGCCACACCGCTGTCCGTTAGGATCCCACTTTCAATACGTTATATATAATTTTCGAAAACATATTTTTATAATTATTAAATTTTTTTTTTATTAAAATTTTATACTTTTTATAATTTTTTAAATATTTAAAATATTTTATAATTTTCAAAATCGTATAATTTTTTATAAATTTTTCCTTTTAATAGACGTTAACAATGTTTTTCACCATTTTATATTTACGCATACGTTTATACATACATACATATGTATTTATGAATACACAAACAACAACAATAATGACACTGATTATGGATAACGACAACATTAACATCGATATCATGAACATCAAATTTAAAGCCATTACTTGACCCATACTGAGTCCGAGTAAAACATACACACATACATAGAAGCGAATTACAACATCTAAGGTGGTTTTTCCGTCCATAGAAAGATTGCGAGTGAATTAGTCGACCTGCACGTCTACTGATCGTTTTCAATCGGTAGCGTTCGGTGTTAATTCACTCTAGAAAATAATTATTTTTTTTAGTGTAACTACTTACATTGTAAATATGTGTTTACACTTATTGATAATAATAATGATAATAGTAATGAGTATGTTTATAAGATAGTCTATTAATTCCGATTTGATTTAAATTCACTTTAATCGTACGAGTTCTAAACAACACGAACAAAGTATTCGTGTATTTAGCTACTATTAAGGTAAATTAAGTTCAAATTATCATATATATATATATATGTATGTATATAAGCATGAACATATCTATAATACCGTTAGATATCTGAATTTAGTACTTGAAAGTGAAAATGTCGACTTTACCCCCTTAAAATCATTAGAATATGTGTTCTTGCGGGGTCATTTTGAACTACGAAATAAATGAATCTCAATTTGACGACTTTTGGGTGTACTACAGGCTAAGACTATTCTTTGAAAAATATGAATATGATATTTTATCATTCTAACGTCCGATATTTATGCTATACCCTAAACAGGGTATATTAAGTTTGCTACGAAGTCTGTAACACCAGGGGTAAACGACGGATACCCCATAAAATGTATCTTAATCATATATAAATGATCAACATGTCGAGCTGAGTCGATTTAGCCATGTCCGTTTATCTGTCTGTGTGTATATATGCGTACTAGTCCCGCAGTTTTTCAGCTATTCATCTGAAATTTTATACACGTTCTTTCCTCTCCAAGAAACTGTTCATTTGCTGGAACCACCGATATCGGATCACTATATCATTTAGCTGCCATACAAACTGAACGATCGGAGTCAAAAGCTTGCATTAAGAACTTTTTCATTTAACGAGAGATATCTTCACTGAATTTGGCATAGATTACAATCTCCGAAGAAATTATACAGATCGAGTCACTATAGCATATAGCTGCCATACAAACTGATCGATAAAAATCAAGTTCTTGTTGTGAATATTTTGTATCTGTGAAGGTTATTATAGCTTCGGTGAAGTTAACGTTTTTTATTTTTTATATAAAATTTTAAAACCTTTAAGCCGGATCAATGCCGTTCCATGATTTCAATAATAACCAGTTCTATATAACCAGTTCGATATAGATACACGATCACGATCGATCGACGACAAGATCGTAATTTCCGCGATCTACATTAATACATTATGTTTACGATTTGAGTTTAGTCTGATTATTATAATTATAATCTGAATTACATATTTGTCGAATTTTAAGAAAATATGATAGCTAGCTTGGATCATGGACAAGCTGTAAAAATGCTGCTCTAGAAAGCAAGCGCTCACAAAAATATTTGGACTCTTTCAAAGCAATTTTTTTTAAAAGAAGGGTTCACCCAAGGTCATACTTGTGTACTGTTTTTTCCAGAAAAACAACCAAAAAATTAATGCATACATACATACATACAAACATATACATATCTACTAAAAAGTCATATGGTAATTTTAATTATATATTTAGCCCTTCCAGCAGAAGTGAAATAATTATTAAATTTTTTCTTCTTTAATAAATGTGATTGTCAGTTTGAGTTTTTTTTTTGTTTTTACTACAAAATACTTAGTTTTAGAGTACTTTTTCACACTTTGAGAGTTTTTTTAATTTCGTTAATTTAATTTTTATAATTACAAAAAACAGTCTCTGTTCTAATGGTGTTGTAAAGGTGTAAGTTGTTGTGGACCATAAAAAAGCTGTACATAGAAAGTACAAAAAAAAAGAAAAAAAAATTATTAAAATTAAAATTCTGTGTTTTTGTTCAAACATTTAGATTTTTATTTGTTTAGTATAAATTACAGTGTTTTATGCATAATAAATATGTTGGGAAATAAATAAATATTGTCAACTAACTAGAAATTATAGTTTAATTATCAGTTCCTTAAGTCGACGCGAAATTAATTACAATTTTTGTGCTTTAACTGTAAACAAAATACATAAGCACACATTTCTTTTAAATATTGCGAGCATAAAATTATTTATTTCATTTTATTTTCATTCATTTATAAATTTATCGCATGCCAGAAAAAGCAAAATTAAAAATTACGAGACAAATAATAAGTTATGACGCCAATTTCTATCAAAACATAAAAAAAGTTTTAATTAAAAATAAATAAATATATTTAGATTTTAAATTTAATTTTTTTTTATATTTCTGCGCACACAAAGCCCCTGGCAGCTATTGATAAATTAGAAAAAAGATAAATTATAATAAATTACCAATAATTACTATTAAATAACTCATATAGTAACATACATATAAGCTAAAAGTAAAATTTGTTCAAATAGACATCGAGCAACTTCGTTTTCATTCGTAAATATTGTAGTTACGTTGAAGACGTGCGTGTTTGGAGATTCGTTTTTTACATTTGCTGCAGTTGGACTAACGGCTTTTTAAACTATTTTTAACTAAATACAATACAACCCTTATAAGCAGTTAAATATAAATAAATAAATAATACAACAGTGGGAAATTGTGCGATGAATTGTTAAGTTCAGTTAAAAAATTTAAATCACATATAAATATTAGCAGGCAGTTGAAGTTAAATTATTTCGAATAATTTCGAAAATCTATAAAAATTACACTGAGAGAGTTCGTGTTAGCAGTTATCGATTCGCCATTCATCTGCTCGCTCTTACCAAAAAAAAAATTCCCACTAAAAGCAACAAAAAAGTTAGCGAGTTGAATATGCTATTAAATATTCTTCAACGCAGTGAACGGCATGAGAGGAACTGCGATTGTATGCGTGAGCACGAAAGTAAAGACACCCAGTAAGAACGATGTATGCTTAAATTTTGTAAATTTCTTTTTCATTCTTTCGAAGAACCAACTTTGCCTTGCCTTTTTGTATTTAAATATTTTACGATTAAAGAAATATTTTGGGTCCTAAACAACCTTACTAAATTAAAGCATTAAAACAGCTATTGGCTGATGGTTCTAATATTGCACTTATAAGCATATTTATGCAAAGTATTGTATAAAATATATATTTATTTTTGATCTACATATTTATATACAAATCCAATTATATATATATAAATATATAGATATTTTATAGACTAAGGTGAGCCAAAAATAACGAATATCGAATTATGGATGAAAGTGGACCTATATACAGAGAGTCAAATATCACTGCAAGACAAAGTTTTTAGATTAATTTAATTATATTTTAAAAGGTTTAAGTGAGCATGCAAAGCTTCACAAGCTGTTGGACCGTTTAGGTCACAATTTTTTCACCTCGGATTCTTTTAGAACAAAAACATTTCCAAAAAAAATTTACCTTTGAGGTGTTCTTTTTTTTCAATTACCAAATACGTATTTTTAGAAGCTTAGAAAAGGGAAAATTCGTATTTGGTTTGTTTTTGCGCACCCTATTATAGAATTTTTAGTGAATAATTTTTTAACAAAGAAATATAGATCTTTAACTTCACTTCAAAGGGTGTGGATGAGCATTCAAAGTTTTCCATATAAATAATAAAAAAGCTTTTTTCATAAAAATAATATGACTTTTTTTTTTTGACCTCAGCAAACTAGATCAGGTTATTTTTTTTTCAATTCCAAAATTTATATTTTTAGAAGCTTAGAAAAGGGAAAATTCGTAATTTGTTTCTGGTTGGCTCACCTCAGTGTAGACTTTTTAGTAGATTTTTTTTAACAAATTAATTTAGAGACACTTATACATCAGTTACCGTTAAACAACTTTGTATAGAAAGTTTTACAAATTTTTGTTGTAAATAAACTATGCTAAGTATGTACGCATTCTGAAGCATAAAACCTATCAGCTAAAACTATGTAGAAAGTTCACAACAATTTTGTTTACCTAATTTACCACACGTTTTTTCAATACTTATTGCTAAATGTTAATTATTGTTTAGAGGTACATTAAAGTACATACACGTTAACCCATTGATAATCTTGCTATATAACGGTACTTAAGTTTTAGTGTTATTTGTTTCTGTGGTGGATTTTGTTTAAAATACAAATACAGTTAATTCAACTAATTTGTATAAGTATATGTGAGTGTGAGTGTGTAAGATACACATTGGTTTTAACTAACACATAAATATTATATTATATTTGTTATGCATACTTTTATGTGTACATATATATGGTATATATATATATACTATTACTTAACAGTTTAAATGTACTGTAGAGTGATATAATGTACGTATGTATTTTGGATAAATTTTACTCTTTACTCAGTACATACATACATTTACACATATACAGTTATCATTAACAAGTAGGTTTTATAAATAGTTTTCACATCAACAACCAACATTTAGATATTAGATAACACTTTTGTAGTTTTATATCATTTAAACTAATACATTTTCAATTCTAACCCAATAACTTGCAATTCTACACCCTGACTACTGCTATTGAACCCATTATTATGCACATTCAACATGCTGACTACTTTCATCTTATTCACCACCTTTCATCTTATTACTTTTACGCTAGATTTACATTTTTTCCGCCTTGCTTTAGGCTCGCAAGAACAAATACTGTTATGATGTTGTGTTGAGGCAGCCTTTAAACGCCCGCTGCCGCTCCTGCTAGAGGGTTAGCGCCAGTTTCGTCGTTACCGCCACCCAAATCGTCTTTGTTTCTACCGCCAGTGCTGTTCGTGATGCTGTTGCTCGAACGTGCCGGCGATATAGTGTTGCCACCATTCAAGTTCAATGTGAGGTTATTGCTTGTGGCCGATGTGGAGGCAGCGCCACCGCTGCTGAAGAGCACCAAGAAGCCATTGCTAATGATGCAAATTCGAGATTCCGCTTCCTTTTCGAGTATTTGTCGAGCCTGCAAGAAAGTTTATTTATTAGTAATTTGGACTGATATGAGTTCTGCTAATGAACTCAACAAATTTTATATTAACGAGTAAACAATGAAAGTGGGACAATACGGTTTCTAAATAAACCATATCTATATATAATATTATACATTTTTTTTAATTTATAAATAATTTTTCTGCAGTTTGACCCTAATTAAGATGGTCTCCTAAGTTATAACAATACAACACGTACTAAGCTGGATCTGCACAACAGCCTTTTCATGCTTTTGGACCTTCAGCACATGTTCAGCTTAAGAGAGCCGTCGAAATCAGCCAACAGAAGGCCCAGGAAACGTGCTGTTTGGACGGAGACCAACTGGTGGTTAGAGTCATGCGGGGAATCATTGCACGCTGGTCATATATTTGGTATGTCGGTTCTGGATAAGTAGAAGTTTAAATTGCTACAGTTTCCAGAACGAAGTTGCAATGGGTGTGGTTTGACTCCAAGTATGCCATTCACTGGGATGGAGGTGGTGAAGGTGTTGATGGCTCTACTCTGAAGTTTGTTGTGTCCGAATTCTCGTCGGCGTACTGTTCGATCACGTTGACGCAAATGAGGAAAGACCTCTTGATGTTCCTAGGAGGCGGCTCCGCTTCAAGCAAAATTGCCGTAATTGCTTGTAGAGGAGTTCATTATGTTCTTTGACCGGAGGCATGTGTTCCTCACTATGTAAGTGTTCGACTGAAGACATCAAGAGTATTCTGATACGCCCGAATCATTTTCGACTGCGTTTCACTACATCCAGGCGACCATATGGGTGCAGAGTAGTTTATGACCGACGGGCCGATTGCCTTGTATGTTGCCAACAACGTTTCTTTGTTCTTTCCCCAGGAGCTGCCGACTATCGACTTGAGGATTTCGTTGCGGGTATGAGATTTAATCCGATTTCAACCATTTTTTGAAATAGTGGGGTCGCAAAACAAGGCACCAAGGGTGTATATATTATTGCTTCGTTTATTTATATTGAATTCAAAACAGCTTATAGAATTGAAAAAATGTTATGTGAGAAGCAGGTGATTTTTCTATTCAGACTATTTAAGTGCCCTTCATTTTCATTGAATGTAATGTACTAAATTTGGATGAAATCGGTTGAATAGGCGCTGTACGATGTAGCATTTCATTTAAAAGTGGTTCAATATTTAACGCAGCATATCGCGCTTAAAATAACTTCGTCTCCATTTAATATTATATAATTTTATGTGTGTGACAATATCAAAACGCACGATAGAAAGGCTTACGATACCGCAAAGAGTCAGACATAGGACTGACAACTCAGAAGCGATTTTCTCAAATCTTATAGAAATATTCTTCAGAGTTGTATTGCATATTTTGTAGTTTGGGAAAAGAAAGTTCCTCTTCTGAAATTTACGACTTAAGATAGGTCGGGTTTGAAAGCAAGATAAAGAATTTAAGGAGTTAAACAAATATTTAACCCACCTTGTTTCGATGCTCGGTCAACGCATTCCTCACGGATTCGTGTTGTTTTTGCAGGTCATCGGTACGTTTGTCGTAGGTTTGCTTCAGACGCACGCGCTCAGCTACACCGCGCTCCACTACCGAGCTTGCCACTTCACGCTTCATTCTAACGAAGGACAAGAAAATGTTATTAAGTTGGAAAAATGTTAATGCCACTACAATTTTTGACTCACCTAACCAACTCATCACGATCACGATGAACCGACGACAAGTTTTTCACTTCGGTACGTCTCGCTTCTTGCAGTTGATGCATTACCTCCGAAGTGACACGATCAAGCGACGCTTTCAGTTGTTTCATTTGATTTGCCTGTGAATTGCGCAACACCTTGTCCGCCAAGGCATAGATTATTTCATGATACTTCTCCTGTATGTCACGGTACTGCGTTGAATAATCCCGACAAGAGGCGAGTAAACGTTCTTGCTGTGAGCGTGTCACCAGTGCGGGACTCTCGCCACCACTGCTGGTGGCACCATCCACACAGTCCTCGTTGAGATCACCAATATCCGGAAAGCAGGGCGGCACTTCCACACCCGTATCGCTGGTGGAGAGACAATTACTAACCATCAATGTGAAAACACAATGCGCATGCGCAGGCGCGCAATACGAATTTAAAGACACTTACAGACTCTTATTGCTGAGACGTTTCTTTAGCTTGCTGGCAATGTTGAACATGGGTTTCTTATTACCATCCATAGGACTAGACTTTTGCATAGCGATTTTGATCTTCTCCTTATCGTGCTTCTTACGCAGTGACTCCAGCTTCTTTTCCAGCTCGAAACGCTTCTCGCGCACCAACTTATTGTCGAGTATCTTATCCAGTGGCTCTGCGCGCACCAAATCCACATCGAACTGTGACGACTCCACCTGTCTGATTGATGTCTGTGCAGTTGAGTCCAGCGAGTGTTGATGTGTAAAACCGGGTCCCCCAGCAGTGCCCGTATCGGCGTGGTCGTGATCAGCACCAGCATTTGCATCGACGCTCAAAATTGCGGCCGTGGTAATACTGGCGCGGTGCTTCGGACTCATTGTCGTAGACTCAACGGGGCGTAGCTCTTTCTTCTGGCCACCTACTTGTACAAAAACGACTTTTGTTTGTCAAGTTTAATGGACGCAGGCAGGTTAACGGTTAACGGGGTAACGAGGTAACGGGTTGCGAGCAAACGTTGTGTTTTTTGTTTTGATTGTGTGTTTGTGTTGTTGTTGTTGTGTGGCATGGTGTTAAGTATGTAGTTGGTTAGTTGTAGACAGAGGAGGAAAATGTTGAAGTGTCCAGTAACCAACAGTAGTTTGAAGGATATACAAATAAATAAATGAAAAAAGAAATAGAGACAAATAGTTCAAATAACCAAAGAAGGTATAAATTCAAATAAATTCAAAGTATTCTACATGAAATTATCAGAAGAAAATACAAATGTGGCGCTAAATACATAATAACTACCGGTATACCGACAATAAAAATTTAACCCACACCAAGATTCTTCATTTCATGCGCACTAACTTACAAATACATGTATATTGTATATACATAGATACACAAACGGTATTTTTATAGACGCAAGCGCTCTAAAACTTACATGAATTGGTGATGTCCTCCTCTGATGAGATCGGTTCGGTGCCCTCGGTCAACACGGCTAATTGTTTGTCGCGCTTCTCCAACTCACTTTGATACTTAATTGGATTAGCTAAAGCCTCAGCGAAATTTGAGAGATCATCTGGCACATAATCTTTAACAACAATATAGAGAAACAGCGATGCTAGTGTCAAAGGTTGACCCAATTCGGTGCGTAGATTGACATGTCGATACCCTGGACATAAGCCAATAACGGGTAGAACACGATGACCCAAAAATTTTCCACCCTCTTCATAAGCCGCAATGCGTATATTGGCGAGCTCGGGCAGCACAACCTGCCACAACAAACAAAAGAGATATTTTTATAAAAAAAAATTTTTAAATATGTATTGCAACCCTTCACCTTTTTGAACACAAAAGGCTCCTCGTCATAAACCGGATTCAAGCCATTATCGCGTACAATGCGTGTGCGAAAGCGTTTTCTCACTGTATCCGCGGGCAAGCCAAACATTTCCACCTCAACATAGGTGCCCACACGTTTATCTGTTAAAAATTGACCCGACAGCACAGTGATGGACACAGTACCAGCTATGATGCCATCGACCTGTAAAGAGTGACCCTATAAATTTGTGCAAGAACTAAAAAAGGCATTGAATTAACATACCGTGCTCTCCGCAAACGGATCCAAACGTCGATCGGTACGTCTCATAAATTCTGGCTTCAATAAATAGCCCGATCGGTCATTGTACTCGAATATGCCCAAATTCAATTGCATAGCCAAGTCCAAAGTCTGATAATTGAGCGCCACCAGCTGACAGCCGGCATTCCAGAAGAGCTGTAAGTAAGGAGGTGAAGGCGATGCTTAGTGAAAATTTTATTAAAAGTAATATAAAATTCACCAACCTGCGGCATGAAATTGGAACTATCGAATCGTGTGCCAGTCGGGTAAACACGCGAGAGCTGATGTTTGTTGTAGTTGACAAATTCAATTGGGCGCTCTTTAAGCAGCGCTGTAGCTTGTTTCTCATCGAAGGAGGACATTTCGTAGCAGCGATTTTTTTCTAACGGAAAGAAAAGAGAGACCGAGTAAATATGTAACATAATTAGTGTTATTTAAAGGAAAGTTGTTGGAAGTTCAAAACTACATTTCAGGTTCCATTACCATTATTAGGCAATGTAGTAAAGAATTCAAATAGTTAAATTTAGCTTTATTCTAACGCACAAGACCCAAAGAAATTGGAAATAACCCCGGGTGCAACCGAAATTGAGTTATTTCAACAATTTGTATAAATCAAGGCTTGTAATATTGATATTTAACTTTATTAAGATATGCATATGTCTGACCTAAACGGAGACTCTGCTATATGATATACCTTCTGCTCAAATATAAACGAGACTGGCTCAAACAACAAAAACGGTTAATTATTCTTCAATATTTATTTTATCCCCTTCAAAATAGTCACCATTAGAGGCGTTACACATATGCCACCTTTTTTTCCAATCTTCCTAACACTTCTGGTAGACCGCTTTAGGTATGGCTTTCAGTTCCTTCTTCGAATTCTCTTTTATGACTTCAATCGACTGAAAATGCTTTCCACGAAGCGGCAATTTGAGTTTAGGGAAAAGAAAAAAGTCACACGGTGCCATGTCGGGTGAATACGGTGCTTGCGGAACAATATTTGCGTTGTTTTTGGTCAAATAATCGCGTACAAGACGAGACGTATGAGCTGGATTTTGGAACAAGTCGAGCAGACACACGGTTCATGCCCAAAACATCGTGAATAATGCTATGAGCGGATCCATTTGATATGTTGAGCTCACTAGCTATCTCTCTTTCAGTTACACGACGATTTTCCAACACAATTTTCTTTACTTTTTCGACGTTTTCTTCGTTTATTGACGTTGCTGGAAGACGATCATGGGGCAATTTCTCCAGCGGTGTACGGCCGTCCTTGAACGACTTATACCAATCAAAAATACGTGCACGTGATAGGCAAGACTCCCCATATGCCTTCTGCAACATTTTCATTGCGTCCGTCGCACTTATTCCATTGGAATAACAAAATTTCAAACAAACACTTTTTGCTCAACGTTAATTTCCATAGTAAAATTCGAAAAACACACTTGAGGTTGACTTGTTTGTAGTGCCTTAAAAAACTATGTGACAGATCGCGCTCAAATTTGACATGTAAACATATAACAGTCCTGCCAACCTAAGCAAAAAAAAGTATGGCCATATGTCATGTCCTTGTCGAGTTATGGATAAAGTCTCGTTTTGCGTTGAGCAGAAGATATTTTAGGAGATTTAGAGAAAGTGTTAAAAATGAAAGTGTACAAAGTATTCTTACGATCTCTTTATTGATTGTTGAGTTATCTATTACAGAGTAAAGGAAACTAACGAAATTCAAATGGCCTCCTATGTGAAGTAGGCGTGATTATGATTTGATTTTTAACCACCTTTAATCTTGGTAATATTAACTAACAACTTTTTTAATTACATGTGAAGAGGAAAGCAATCTACCTAATATCCAGATTTTTACCAGCTATGTAATGGAGGAGATATTCAAAATTTTTCAACTGCAGTAAAAGTTCTTGAGAGTATAAAAATTGTGGAATCTGGAAAGATTATATTCTTTTTTATAGAGCGTATCAGCGAGATAGCGTAATATCCGATCGAAAATATTTTTTTCTAACATTATCAGACATTGTCTCCTTTTTTTCGATATTCCTTCCCACAAAGAGTTTTTATTTTCTATATATATAGTTACAGTTCTCTGGTCGGCTTAGTCGGTATAATACATCAAGGAATTGATAGGAAATAAGAGATCTTCTAGCTTACTACTTTCGCTTGAATAATTGCAAAAATATATTCTTCGTAGCGTTAAAAGCTTATAAGCCTATCCTTTACAAAGATTAAAAAATAATCTAAAATCGTTGTTTTGCACTTACTTTCCGCACTTTCGAATGTATAAAAATGCACCGGTTCCACGTAATTGACCAGCGCCGAGAGCTCAGCCGCCGCTTCAGTTTCCTTCTGTGGTTTTTCCGCTGTTGGATCGGCGCCTACTGGAGGATTGGGTGCTACATTCGGCATTGACTCATCGTCCGTCGAGCTGTCCGTATCCGACGAGCCAGTGCTGTCCTTAGAATTCTGACGAATTTGCTGATAGGGAAAGGAATTAATTTATTTTATTTATTAAAATAATATTTAAATTCGCACTATATGTATATCAGTTATGTTAAAGCAAAATATTAACACTCGCTAAGAGAATTAAAAGAAAAAAAAAACAGAAAATTTAATTATCTACACTATTTATACACTTGGTAGTAGCACTTGCCAAGTTAATAATTTGTCTACCTGCAGTGGAGGCGGATACACTGTGCTGCTAATATCCCCATTGCCAGTCAACACTGGTGTCGACATAGCCGAGCCGCCAGCCGCTGCTGCTGCAGGATTTTCACCCTGCACGGAGACCTGTTGCTGTATAGCAGACGGTGTGGTGGCGTGGTTTGCTGTTGCCTTGCTGGATGCATCAACTGAAAATGCAAATGAGTGGTAAACAGTGAGTTGTGTTTTTTGACAATAGCAATGTGTACATATTCAAAAGGCTTTTGTTTCCTTTGATTATTCAATACAAGTTTACCCATAACACTTAGGCTTAAACCGCTTATGGATTTCAATAATTAGAAAAAATAAATGTTGTTGAGAAATATTTTTGGGAATTGTATGTCTGAGTAAGTGTCTTTAGCAAAGTCTGTTTGTACTCGTGTTACTATTGTATGTTTAGGAATAAATATTTACCAAGATTAGTAAATTAAGTAGAATAATAGTTTTCAGTACATAGATATAAAGGGTGTTTCTTTAGAGGTAGTTAACTAGTTTTTCCTTATAAATAAAACATTGGAAAATTGGGGTGATATTCATTAGATTCGCAATTCCACATGGCTGGTGCACAAGCATGTACGATTGATTTGACGTACCCCCACAAAAATGTACTATCAGAGTCAAATCAAGGACCTAGAAAGTCAAAGCGGAGCTATATTTTTAGTTATGATTCTGTCGCTGTATAACTTTTGCTTCGTCCTGCTGAAATCACTTGACTTAAAACCAACGATGTTTTCATTGGAACTAAAAAAGTTTCGAATCATTGCGGGTAGCGTAAGTTAAAATGTGGAGTATAAGTTTGTGCTCAAACGCGTGTTTTGGTTATAAATTCAGTAAAGCAGTGGATTTGATAAAATACTAAATTTGTTTTCAACACAACAGCTTAATGTCTTTTAAGTTTCGATAATTGGAAGGTATATTTTCTGTCAGCGTTTCATCATCATCTGCTCGGCATTCTGCTGAATCCACTTTTAAAACTTTCTGCTAAGTTCCCGTTTGCCTAAAAGTAGAAGCTTTTTCGGTTTGTCCACCATCAGCACTATCCCGTAGTAACTTTGCGGTATGCCCGGTGTTGCCAGTATTCTAAGACCTGAGGTGTTTCTCTAGTGTCTATTGCTTCAAACAAACTTTAAAGCAGCTGAATGGTCTGGGTCAGCTTAGCATAGCAAACGACCTTAAAGTTCTCACTGCCGAGTAGAAATAATAATCCAATCACTAAGGTGACCCAATGCAATGGCATAAGATGCCTCTTTGCGGGGTGCCACTACTGATCTGGTGATTTTTATTCCTTCCCCATCGTTTATGGCTTGTATGTATATCGTTTAGCTTATGACTTAGTGGAAAAAGCAGCGATAGCCGATATCAGTGCAGCCGTACTAGCATTGTGGAATGCACCTTCCACGTCAACGAATACCGCTAGGGTGAATTCTACGTTTTCTAAGGAACTTTTGATTGTGCCAAGTACCTCATGTAGGGTGGTATAAACCTGCTTCTCTTTGACGTTTGGGTGCTGCCTGAATTCATGGAGTAGTTTTCCTTTCTCAGCTTTGGCCGCCTGCCACCTACTAAACGCTAAAAGGAAACTGATATTTTATTAACTAGTAACGCGATGAGACAATCGACTTGTACCGTTTTGTAGTAGAGCGGGAAATATATCATGCGTATCGGCTGCTTTGAAACTACTAAAAGCTTTGGTAACCATTTTTTGGCTGAACACGTGATCGTAATATCGTCTAGTGTGAATATATTATTTGCTAGGTAATTTTTCAAAGTGTGACGAAATTTAATTTCAAAAAAATGTGTTTAACAGCTAGTTTGGAAGTTGTTCTTCTAGAAAAGTCGATACCTTTAAAAACTAATTTAGCTTCTTAAAGAAAGTAATTAGTTTTGTAGTATATTAACCGAACTGTCTAAAGACCTCTCACTCATACAATATCTCTCTATCTATCGAAACATATCGGCTCTTCAATTTTGACAGCTCACTACCACCAGAAGTTGGTGTCATAGAAAGAGAAGAAGTTTAGGTATTTATTACCTAGATATTTTCTCCGAGTTTCGTTCTAATAAAATTACCTACCTCATATTTTTTAAATGAGCAATTTTCCATGTACTTATTGATTATTATTTTACCTTCTTATTGCATTTTAATAATCATTACCATGAGCTTTCTAGTATACCACTGCGTATACCTAACAATTATATCCTTTTTTTTTAATTTTCCGCTTTACTGAATAAGGTTCTATAATTACGCAATCAACAGAGCTGTATCACAATTCCCACGAAATGTTTTTGCTCATCACTAAGTGATGATAGCCAGCTAACGATGTCCATTAAGCGGATTCAATTTGCGTATTAGCGGCCATCATTAATTATACACGGCTTTGACTTCAGTGTTATGAGTAAGTCATTGCCGCATTATTATAAACTGCATGGTATACTCGTATATGTGTTTGAAATATTGTATATAACATGAACTAATGCGCATACTAAAGCATACCAATATGTTGTTGTAAATAAGCCACTCACCTGAGTTCGCAGTCGACAATTTGCTGACCGTTGTTGGGGCCGCAACTGCGCCTCCCTTCTTGTGACGATGATGGTGATGATGTTTTCGTTTATTCTTAATGATAATTTTACGCCTAAGTAATGACGGTGGCGGCAAGTCCACATTGGGCTCTAGCGGATGTGAATCTAGCGGTTTATCTAATAACATTTCACCGAATATCTCACGACAGTAGTTGGCGATTTTAGCCTAGATTACGATACAAATGTGCAAATGGAAAAATACACAAAAAGCATAGACATAAAAAATAATAGCAATAATAATGAAATGAGCACGAGCATTAAATTATGGCAAGGAAGTTGCAGTAAATGATGCTACTATGGATACAGCTACGTACATATACAATGTATATGGTATTTTAACGGTTTTGGCTGTATATATGTATTTGTGTGTATATGACGGAGTAAAAAAAAATCTTTTCAAAATATCGGTAATAAATATTTTTTAAAAATATGTTAATTAATGCAGCGGTATTGGATTTACCGATAAAATGTATATGATATTAATTGTGTCCTTCTCTAACTCTATTTGGTACTTCAACATTTTTAAAGTCTCTCAACATGTTTCAGAGAGTATAATAAATATCGGACCATTCGCACGCCCATAAACTGCCGTTAAGCGAAACGGCTATAACTAAGCTACAAATTAAGATACAAAGCAAAAGTATATATCACGGAAATCACTTAGGTTAAATCGTTCAATATTGTTGAGAACACGTTTTTCCAACATCTCCTCAAATGGTGTGAAAATGTACATAATCGGACCACGCCCACTCTCAATATAACAGTTATGTTGAATATTACTAAAAGTACAGAAACTCACTAAATAAATACATCAGAAGCAATAAATTTCACAGATGGTAAAGAAGGGTTACAAAAGACTCAAAATTGGATAGTGGGCGTGACAACGCCAACTTTTAGGTGAAATTTAATATTTAAGGAACTACTACTATTATTACTAATATCAAGCAAATTTGATACATAATATTATCTTCACATTCTTCTGTTAGGGTTAGGGTGTGAAAACCGGTGAAATGGGACTAAAACCACGCATATCTTCCATAAAACACAATTATTAATTACATCTAAGTTTTTCGCTTAACAGTATATAAACCAAGCACTAATAGAGACATTGGAACAAAATTTTACACAAGTAGTGCCTTTACCAAAAAAGTAATCATACGTTTTAAAACCCCAGATACCAAATATGTGCATCTCAGTGCCGATGCCTTTCTATATACGAAAAATATCGGTCAAGCTGTGGGATATATTGATGGTAATTGAAGCCCCAAATACCAGATATGAGTACCACAATGCTTATGACTGACTATGTACAAAAAACAAAAATCTATGTGATATATAATACTAATGAAATTCAGAGAGCATCTTTTCTTAATACTAATGTGCTATTGAGTCAAATATGGGTTAAATTGGCTTAATAATTCCCCGTAACCACAGTTAATGTTGGGTTACACTCAATGTTAGTTTTTCCTTACTGGTTCATTTTTGTTTTCTTAATTTTCCTAACTAGTTGAATAAAGTTTCGGCAAAAATTACAAAAAAAAACTGGATATTAAAGATATCAATTTCAACGTCGGAGTGAACTTTCTCAGGACTGCTCTGGACGGTTGCAATATGGTCTGCGACCAAAGTCGAAATGTTGAGTGATGTTCTATAGAAATTACTACTACATTTCAGAGAAAGCACTGAAAGGAATTTTACGTGTAACCAAAAGATTCGGAGTAAATTTATATATTATTCTAGGAAACGAATAAAAATTTCATGTTTAAGTATTGCAAAATCATCAGATCTAAATTTGAAGTTCCAAAGCTGAAATGATATCACCACAGAGAAGGTGATTACATTTCGTGTTGTTTCTTTGGCTGTTAGAACTCAAATTGGTATTAACGCCAGATTTATATAGATTACAGTAAAGCGCACTTGATCTAAGTTTGTCTTACGGTGACTGCTTAAAAGTCATGTATCTTCGAAAAACGTACAATAAGCATAGCTCAGATTCTGAATGAACAAAACGCGACTGTCATTGACAAGTCGAGCACACCACAGTGACCGCAGTGAATAGTCGATATTATTGTCTAAACATAAGGTCATCAGTATATATTTCAAATCAGATATAGCGCATCTCTAACATTAGCTACAAATGTATATATGTATGTATGTATGTAGTATAGACACTTGAGTCTTAAAACATATACTTGTGTACTCGCTTATACACTTACATACTTATTTTTTCATTTTCCTTTTTACTGCTTCAACCTAAAAATTTATTCCGCCACATTCTTATTTGCATACATTTACATGGATTTACGCTACACTAATGTACAGTTATGTATTTTTTTGCATGTCAAACGGCAAAACTTTCTTCAGAACAATTTACAATATTTTTTTCACAAACTATTTATTTTGAAATCAATTCCATCAGCTTAGATACACAATATCCTAGTTTGCCTGTGATTATGTGGGTCTGTGAGTGTTGCTGTATCGATTTCTTTGCCCAACTAACTTGCAACCTAACTCATTGGGGTTAGCAAAGGTAACCTTTTGATTAAAACTTGTGAATTTGCATCCTTACCAACTGCATATACATATTTATATGCACATATGTATATATGCATGTATGTATGTGCGTGAAAAACTTGTATAGAAAGTTACTAATGGCCGCAGCGTTGCGATCTGATTTTTGATTGTTGCCAACAGCAGCGTGTTTAAAAATTTGCATTTCTCGGCAATCTTGGTTTGTGGCAGCGAAGCCTCCTTTTCTCCTACGCATTGACAAAACAAACTTCGGCATATTGAATAACCGACGTAATGACGTTCTTAACAACTTTTAACTTTTTCACGTTATACTTCGTAAGTGTTTCTCAGTTCGCAAAATAATGCCAAGTACAGAATTTCCTTACGCTCAAACACTTTTAACTGCATTTCAAACTTATACATACAGTTATTTTATGAATGTTGTGAAGAATGTGGAGAGTGTTTCGTGCGCATTATTTGTAGATTTCGCATCCACACTTACGCGCTTTACACAATACAAATATTTGTATTTATCTAATGACACTATTTAATGTTTATTGTAATTGTATAATCTACAATATTTGTCTTCGACAACAAATTGGATAACTATATAAATTACTTGGAATAAGTCTTTAGCGCATTCTTATTTACCTGTTGCCTTGGATTGCAATGGTTTTCGAAACTTAATATCACAGGAAATTCCGATGTTTTGAATGCGCTCTCAGCAATCGCCTCCAACGCGTCTCTGGCATTAATTTCGGGAACGAGTGTGTAGCCGTGCACAATAACGGGCTCATCAGTGCGGCCGTTCCAGAAGTCCAATTCCACGCATCTGAAATGTTACAAAGGTTAAATTTTCGAAATGACATTGCGGCACAAAGCAGAAGTGTTTCAACAAAAACGAAATACTGTTTAATCTATATTATATACAGTAGCTTTTTTCTATAACTGATCATCAATTTTGAAAGCGATCTTTTTTTCGACATTCGAGAAGACATTTATTTTGTGTGGAAGATCACATAAATGACCTCTGTGGAACCGTTGACAGGGATTTGTGTGTTGCACTCAATTTTCAAAAACTTTAAGGTCAAATATCCCAATCGATGAACGATTTGAATCATCCGAAGCATCCTGAAGTCAATGAATCCACGTAAGATCCGACCACACTATCAGTAACATTGAATTAGTTAAAATAAGAGTAGCACGGCTGCCGGATCACAGCCGAATCTGGAATTATAAAGCTGATAAGCTTGCAAGAAAAGGCAACTCAGTTTCACCTCGATAGAGTAGAAACAAGTCTGGATTAAATCGAAATAACTCTAGCGGGCTCTTCGCGCTAACAAGGTTCGCATAGTTTTTGAATTACAGTTTTTTTATATGAGGTTGAAACAGATCATGGATAAACCATCTTAGTTTTCACAAATTCATTCATAAATGTGATGATTTCAAGAGTTTTCCGGCTTCTCAAAAGATTACCTTTATCAGTCGAGCATTGATCTGAGGTGCAACCATAGAACTTAGCCTAACCTAACCTAACTTAATTGCAATCATCTAAAATTTGCTTATTTTTGAAGAATATCTCTCTATAGTTTTCATATACAATATATTTTCGAAAAATGGAAAAAGTTTTAGTCCGCATGGAGATACTCTGATTAAGTGTATTATTAGTTATACATATGGTTCCTGCATATGATGCGACCACATACACATTTCCGATCCGTCTAAATGTAAAACCATGTTATCGGCTAAAATTTTAAACTAAATTATATTTCTGATATTTCAAATTGTTTGAAAAGAAATAGTTGGCCGTTCGTTTCATACTTATTGTTGGGTTGTTCACAACTAGTTCATTTCACTGCTGGGTATTAACATATGCAAGGACACATGCTTTTCGTATTTTGCAAAGTACTTGAGGCGTTGCATAGCTTATGTATTCCTTTTCAATGCTGTTGCATAATGCAAAATGCATTTTTCATTGTGTTTGTTGCTTTACCAATAGACGCGCTATTTGTCAATGTCTTACGCTGCTAGTTTTCGGTACTCACCTACACCCGGCCAACAAGCATTGACGATAAATTTCCACCGACGATTTGCCTGTCAACTGATGTCCTATTAAGTATGTGTTGTGAGAAGAGTTTACAAAATAATGTGATAATGGCTGATCCATGTCGTCGCATAAGTCCAATTTACTAGGCGCCACAATCGGATTGTCGTCTGACATTAAATATCTACAAATAATAATTAGTGAGTTTTAACATTATAAAAATTCGAATAACGCGCTATAATAGAAATACTTTGAATATAATATATATCCCATAAATATCAATTTTTGGTATTTCTGAGATCGCTCACCGGCAGTGCTACGTTAGATACCTAAAGACATTTTAAATTTTCTTATCTCCACAAATCTCCATTTCCTAACAACTAAGACAACTAAGTCTGGGTTATCACTAAATGGAAGTTATAGAAATCAGGGATAGATGAGTTAAGAACATTTGCGACTTAACTCGCTTTAAACACTTCATTCTGATGTTTATTCAAATATGGCTTTATATTCCCACAAGCTTTGACTGAAAAATAGAAAACTTGAGCCTACAGTAAATATTTTTTTCATAATTTCCAACTATTTGGACAATTCAAGATCTTATATCTACTGAAGCGTTAAAACTACTTGTTTGATGTTTATTCGGGCAAAACTCGAGTTTGTGCCGTGACGTGCATTTAATTTGAAGACTTAAGTGGTTCTATGAATCTGTGAAAATTTATAGTAGACTTCTTTTCTTAAGTTTTCTTGACTATTTACTATAATCTTAGCTTATATAGTGCTACTATGATTAGACAATGGTTCAATGGTTTTCTGCCTTCGCCCCGCAATATAATCCAGTTAAGTCAAATTACTTGGTAGCCGAGACATTCAGTAGTATCTGGACGAAATATATCATCGATATCAAGTCGATGCAAACTTCCGAATCGAATTCTTCAGGCTTATCTTAACGTTTGCTTTTACAGCAGCGGTAATGTTTTCGGAAATACAAAAACGTTAATATTATATCTAACACAAAACTTAATCAATGCTTGTGGACATCTTTAAAACCTTTCCGTTAAACTCAAACTGTAGCTATTTATAAGCCCTCACACCTTTTATTTCCGTGTCAAGTGATCAATTTTTATAAAACTATTGCGTAAAGTTAAACTTAAGCTAGAAATTCGTTTCCTATTATGCTGGGATATATAACCTTAAAATCTAAAAGGTCTCTCGTATCTCAAATCAACGGAAAAGTAAATACATTTTTTTCAAGTAATGTATTTGCTCCACTTTGGAGATAACTATGAAGAGATAAAGTTACAGTCAGTCTCTTACTATTATTACAATACTTTATATTTGAAAAATGTCAAAATAGAGATATTCTAAATAAGTCTATAAGCCTTTAACAATAATTATTTAATCAAAACGTGCCCTTTCGTAGATTTTAGACATTTTCAGATGACAAAATTTAGTAAAAATTTTAAAATAAAATTTATATTTCTGTAAGCCACCCACCTCAGAAAACCATCTAAGCTTAGCTGGTTCTTCTGTGCATTGAATTTATTCGGCTCGTACTCCTGTATAATCTCCTTGGCACGAGTTGCGTTCGCGTAAGGATATAAAATCTCGTTCAGCCGTGGATCGCGCTGTGTTTTGTTGAGAAATTCCACAAGCTGAGCGATGCACATGCATTTGCGTTTCGAATTACCAACGCTGAAAACAAAAATATAGAAAAGATTTGTAACTTTGGAATTTTTTAAATGACCTTGTAGAGCTTAATTATTGACCTTTCAGCTGTGAAATTTTGCAATTTCTTACAACCAAATCAAAAGTCGAACTAAGCATTTTTTAGTAATTTTTTAAATATATATTAATTAGTTCTATTAAAAATTCCAATATTACTCACACCTTTGACAACCTGAGTGTGGGTATGATAAAGGTTATTATAGTGTCAAACCGTTATTAAATACTTACATGCCATCGAATATCTTTTCCACTTCACTGCGTTGTGCAAGATTCTTGTACAAATTGAAAAAGTCCTCGAAATGAAACTTCGGCAAGGACAAAGTCTCAATTTTCCCCGACGGCAAGCCACTCATGTCCAATGCCTTCTCCACGCGCTTGCGATCCTCTTTGTTTTGTGCGAACATTTTCATGATGCTGCCACCAAAAGATGCACAAAGGTGAAACAATTACAATTCACGTATATATGTATGTATGTATATATAATATATGTGTATATACACATATATGTATATAAACATCATGAAAGCAATTTTGTGGAGAACAAAAGAAAAAGTAAAGTGCAAATTAAATATGCGCTTCATTTCCGATGCACTCTTGCACCACCTTCGATGAAAGTGCGGCAATAAGTAATTATTTTCAGACTTTCAATTTTACTTAAAAATCAGTTACTTACTTCTTCACTGGAATTTTGCCACTTTTGTCAACCTGCAGGCAGAGTTTGGTGTGCGCCTTCTGCAGAAACGTATTGGCCGAGCCATTCAGTCTGGCCAAACTGTAAGCCAGACGCATAATGCCATCACACCAATGCTGCAAAAAAAACAAACGAGAAACAATAAGCTGTAGCGAAATATGAAAGGCAATAAAAAAGCCGTTACAAATTTGAATTGCAAATGCTGTCTAATAAAAAAAAACGAAGTTCATCTGAATAATAGCCAGTTGGTCGCACAATGACCTAACGGTAACGACAGCAATAAGTTTTACATAAATTAAATATCATATACGAGTATAAGGTGATGTTGTTAGAAACTTCGGCCGTTTAGTTAAGAACTACAAGTATGTATTATGAAATTTAGTGTTTGAATATAATTTTGGGCTTATTTGCGATTTATGATGAAATGTTTCACCTCATTTTTTTGGGGATAATCCCGTTTGCTTTGTTTTTTTCATTAAAAAAGTAGGAAACCTCGAAGTGGATCATGTAGCTTTCCAACATTTCAATCTTGGCTGGTTTATTAGCATAGACTACTGACTCGTTATACCGCCATAAAATATATAATGTAACTTAGCCGAAGTGCCTAGGATGTCCAATTATTTTTATAATTCGGTTACCAAAAGTTCGTTCCAATTAAATCATGGTTTCACGAGCTGTGTGACTTGCGTGCTACACATATTCTGCAGGAACCACTTAAAACTGGAAGATCCATTTTGACGTTAGCAACTAAAAAATCCTGAAAAGTTTGTTTATTGCCCACTATGTTATTGAATATTCACAGAAGAGGACGTTACATATCCATATCTTCAAAGCTGGACTGGGACTAGTTCGCGTGTATACAGAAAGACAGACGGACATGGATAAATCGACTTAGGTGGTTATTACAAACTTTGTGGCAAACTTATTATACGGATATAAAAAGTATGGATATATAATATAATATTTTCGGTACACAAGGAAGCCTGTAGAGTTTTTCCACGATATTTTAAGGTTGGTCCAGTTACTGAACATAAATGTCAAACAAATCAAATCAATGTACAAGTATTTACTTCGACAGCTAATTTGACAGTTGTCCGAATAGCAAATTCTGTACTCCTAAAATACACCATATATATGTTCATAAGTACTCAAATATGAAAAGAGAAAGCACGTACATAAATGAATGACAATAATTTTTGATTTAAAATCAAAATTTTGCTGGTGTTTAGTTATATATTTAGTATGGTATGTGATCAACAGGGCCATATTTTACAGTAAGTAAAGTGAGTTTCTTATAGTACTCATGATTTTGGGCTCAGACCTCAGCCTCTTGATGTTATTCAAAATATAAAAGAGTGCTTACGTCGTCTACCACTTGAGCTGAAATTTAAAATAAAAAATATTTTAAAAATGTTTTTAAAGCTCTTTAAAAGAAGGGAAGAAATCTCTGTCATAATAGTATGGATAATTTAAGTCTGTATTTTTCTTCAATTAATTTAATAATTTAAAGATAGTGTTTTGGCATTTTACCATAGCTTTGGATTTCAAATACGCTTCGAAGTAATTTTTTGCATTTTTAAATTTTTTGGTTCACGACAAGGACCTTTTTAAAATAATTACATAATTATTTAGTTGTACCTATGTTTACAAGTATAACTCAACATCAGAAGGGCTTGGCTTTCTTTCTATAACCCTTAGTTCTCGATGAAGTCAATTATTGTCTAGATTATTATAAATCAGATTTAGAAAGCTTTCACCGATAATTTTAATACCATAAAAAGCATACATTAATAGTGAACACAGTTATTCATATTAACTTATACTGAATTGTCAGCAAAAAAGCTTAGGATTTCATCGCTCAATCCACCATCTTGTGTGCCACTGAAAGTTATTTCAGTGATCATACAGTTTCGATATCAAAGTGAATATTTATATCATTGCCTTCATATACATATATGCACATAGATGTAGAAGGAGCTACTCTTGTTTGATATCCGGTAGGTTAGGAACTAAATTTAACCATAACATGTATGTAGAAGGACCAACCATGTTTTTATATATTTTGTATTTAAATTAGGCTTGCCCAGATTCACGTACTCATTTTAATTCAACTTTCTTGCTAGCGAAGCAATTCAGTGTTATACATATCCCATAAAAAAAAAGTTTACTCACATAACTAGCAAAATACAGCAAATTCTTAAACCTACATATGTATTGTATAATAAATAATTTGAAACATCAAAATTAAGCCTCCATTGTGTTTATAATTTAATACAATAACTCATATATATGTATGTACATGTGGCGCCGAATGTTGCAAGAATATGCTAACAATAATATTTTTGCCGTAAATAGCTGTGTAAACAACATGCTCGTTATCCACACACATCCATATATGCATGCCCACCCATATCCGCACATTATGAATTATGAATGAGGATGATTAGTCAAGAAGGCGACCAGACGATTGGTGTCACAGCCAAGAGTAAATTTGCGCTTGACATATGACATCAGTGTTGAAGAAATTTTGAATTCAATTGAGTAAATACTTTAATGTGATTTTAACAATTCGTCCATATTTATAAAATTAATGCAAATGTACATAAATATGACTTAATTTGTTCAGAATTTTTTTTTTTTTTTTAGCCAACTTATATTCACATTATATTTTGGGTTTTTTTTTTTAATATGAAAATTCAAATTGTTTCTGTACTTTTGGTACCAATGGTTAATATTTCGTTTGCTTTATTTGTTTCCATAGAATCACCATTCTGCTAGTTACGTATACGTTATGTATTCTAACCTATCTAAAAAAAACTTTTTCTCTAGCGCTTATTTAACCTTTATAAGTGTCGTTTTGAGAGTGGTCTTCAAACTCATTACTTTTCTCATAAGTAACCCAGTGGAAGAACTTTCAAAGTAAACAGTAGAAAAAAGTGGTGACCAAGAAGGAAATTGTTAAATTATTTATTGAAACATTTTTCATTTATATTTATAAAGGATTAATGATTTAATGCTATGTGCTCACAAATTATTGCACACATTTATTTTTAATGTTTGCATACAAATTTTTATCGAAATGTACAACGGACAAAATTTGTATTCGGGCGAAATAGTAAACTTAATGGGTTAAGCCAGTCTAAGCTTAAAAAATCGACTTTCTTGGCTTAAAGTTTATTTTAATGTTCTAAAAATCACTACTAAATTGATGGAATAATAAAATATTTCTTTGTCCAATCCGCGGGAGTGTCGAGCTTTTTAGTTCCGCCTACGAAAGCTGAAACCTTCTGCAAAATTTTATTTCGAAGACGGATCCAGTAGTAAAAGGCACACCCTCGCATTGGTAATAACTGCATACTTTAACACATATTAGTGAGTAATTGAAAGTTCTCGAAGTTTTCAAAAGTAAACGAAAAACTTTTATGCACCTATTTGACGTACCCATGTGCTCACATACATTTATATATAATATAAATACAAATATACCATAAGTGTCCGGTTCTTATTGCTTTATATGGTTTCAGTTTTGGCCTATACATTAAATTTTCCAAAATACAACTATTTCCCCTAAATATAATGTCAACCCCCATGTGTTTTACCTCGATCAAAAATTGCTGACAAACCGACAGCAACCGAACATGTGACAACTAAAACATTTAAACAAATCGAATAAAAAGATACAATGACTTGTTTGGCCCATTGCCAAAGGACACAGTAAGCATACGGACGGCTATTTCGGACAATTTAACAAATTTGTGTATGTAAAGTTGAGTATTTAAGCAACAATTTCGGCAAACTACATACGAACTTTTCGACATTTGACAATCCGCTTTCGGTCAAATGTCAAATAATGAACGACAATTGTTCCACTATTAAGCTAATGGGCTTAAGAGCGTGAAAACTTAAACAAATTATACATTTTTTGTGAATTTTAAAGCTTAATTATTTCTTGAATAAACTTGCAAGATTTAAATTGAAAGTTTACACTGGCATTTTGGAAGCTTGATAAGAGTTTTCCTTTGTGAGAATTATTATAAGAGCTATAAAAAATATAAGAACATAATCTCTCCGCTTCGAATGTTTCAACTGTTATATTAATCTACGCAACGAGGCGAAAATAAACCTACTAGCAATCATAGTACTGTGCTTAGGAACATTGGAAAAAATAGGAAATTACTCTTTAATGCGTCAATATTAATTCGCTTTTGGGTTCTTCTCGAGGAATTGTTATTATAGGAAACACTTGTTTATTTTATAGTAAGACGATATCATTGGCTTAATCCTGAATCGGACTACACCTTATGTGCCACACTTTATCTGATGTTGAACTGAGATAGCTGTAGACATTTCTGTGTTCACTTAATAAAATGCGATTCGTCTCCCAGATTAAAAAATAAAATAGCACTTATAGCTCTTTTAGATGCTTGACCGCATTTCTCCTCTAAATTGTGGTGTGCATTTTGGTTTGATCCGATCAATGAAGGAACCTAAGCGTATTAAACCGACTCAAATAGATATTATTAAAAAGCTTTCCATCACAGATATTCTTTTGGAGGTTAATTTCCTGACGGTAGGCAACGTCTAAAAGAAAAGCTTCAAAAAAGGATTGACCCCATTCCTCTAACTACTAAATCAAATGATTTCTCAACTGAGCTAATAAGTTTGTTTTCACAATTAAAACTGTTCGAAAAAAAATTAAATATATGGAGTGTGTAGTTCACATGTCGGATCGGGCTGAAAGTAATAATTTTACGAGATTGAATTCACGATAGCAATTAATTAAGATTATTCAGTGAATTATTTGCACTTTTACCGACTAAACCATTTGCATTATTTCATCTTATATCAATTGATCAACATACGAGTAAATCAAAGTAGGGCTGAATAAATTGAGGCTTCATTAAGACTAATTGCCCTCAATTAAATGAAATAATTAAAACTACGAAATAAGCTTACCTGCGCAATTTCTCTTTTAGTACAGCAAAAATTCACGAATGTTACATTAACGAAATCACAACCATGACAAATGGTCACAGTTTTCTCCTCCAATGTGTCCTGTGACCCAAGCGTAACAATTTGACGTAGTTTAGAATCCTGAAAATAAGAAGAAAGGTCATTATTTAATATGATTTTTGTCAAGATTTCAACACATGGACAAGTGCAGGCAGATATCATTAGAATCTAATTGAAATGTTTCATTCAAAGAAGATTGAAGAGTACTTAATTTGTTTCCATTATTATCGAAAAAATTTTAACTTTTCTTGAAAATTGTTTGCCACGTATTCAAAAGTTATTTTTAGTTCACCTTCATTCATACCCCATTATTATTACCCCTATTACAGCTTTCAACTTCACTCAGTAGAAATGAAGCTGACGAAACTCAACTTCAGAAGAACACAACTCTTTTTTGGCATTACGAACTTCAACTATTTTCAGTCGAAGTTTTATTGGTGTTGCCAATCTAAAAAGTAAAGATTTGGCAGTTTTTTTTTAACCATTTTGCATTAGCTATTAATATTTTTCCTAAATAAAAACAATAATGCTCAACTACAACTTTTTAAACTCTACTCAGCCACACTGATACAAAGTTGAAAACGGTAATACCACAAAAAAGTTGAAGTTTGACAACACTTCAAACGAATTTTTTTGAATTGATGACTCTAATACCAAATTTCAAAACTGCAACTAAAATTCAGTTAGGTTAAAAGCGGTCTACATTTTTTTTTGAAAATAAGTACTATTGATTTAAATTATATAACGACACGTCTCACCACACTGCTAGTTGAGTAATTAAGAGAATGAGTCGGCGATTCAATCACTAATTGTTCTTAATTTAACGTAAACAGATCAACTGACTAATTACCCAATTAGTAGGTAGGTAATTAATTCCGCAATTAGGATTTTATTTATAATAAATCCTGTAAAATAGGTGAATCTAAGCTAGCATTCGAAAAGTCGACTCAATTTGTTGTCATTCTTATTCACAACCAAAATCGAAAACAAGTTTTCAAATACAAATTCTATAAATTAAATTGTGTACGTTTGAACATCAAATACGACGACTCAAAGTTTTAATTGTCTCAACTAATTGAACTGTTTGTACATGACATATCTATTTGAAAAGCTATGAAGAATATTTTAAAAAGGAATATTTATACATATTAATATATACAAGCATATGTATGTATATTTATATCAGTTAATATCTTAATGCTTACATCGAAGCACCAAAGAAAAGTAAAGCAAACATTATTTATAGGTCAAGGTTATATTTTCAAGGACAGCATGGCTTAACTTATTGCCCTCAAGCAGAAAACAGTCAACAGTGAAATTAGAGATGAAAATTGAAGTATGTGATTATAAATATTTTATTTTAGAAAAATCTGTGCACGACATGAATCGGCACCAACTAATACTAGCGAGTTGGTGCTATCGATCAATAGAAATTGTGTGTGTTTTTTTATTTCCTATTTCATTTGATATCCGTCATATCGTTTATTAAATGCTGAATGCTGGCCCGAGCATCCTTGGCCCTTTCAAAACCACTCACAATCAGCAGAACATTATACCAACAGTGTGTGGTGTTTGTTGTTATTTGTTGTCGCAGAGATTAAAAGAGTTGCGCTTAACCACAATTACGTCGTTCTTCCTCAATCGCAGGTCTCGTTGCATGGTGTTCGCATTGTTCCTGTGGTGTGCAACAAATCGCATGCATGTATTCGTTTTTTTATGGATATGTGTGTATGTATATACTCGTATAACAAGTGCACACATTTCTTTATGCTGCTATATTCCGCATATCGACTGATATTCTTTCTCTATATAATTTGCAACAAAAGCGTGCCTTCTCATGGCTTATGCCGTCCAGTATGTCCGTAGAATCGATTGTTATTGCTTAGTATGAAGAAATGACCGTATAATATATTCTATATACAATACATATATATATATAAAATAGAAAGATAAAAATATACCGCTTTGCCACATTATACTCTGACCAGAAAAAGAGCGAAATCAGGTCATAACCACGACCATCTTTGGTATTGGTATTGGTTAAAATTATTAAAGTTATCTTAAGGATAACGCCTCTCAAGAAGTTTATAATGAGGTAGAGTTTTATATGGCTAAACTTAGAAGCATTAAGAAAACCTAATGTTAGAAGAAATTTAAGATCACCCGCACTTTATCGATTTTAATTTTGTTACTTAACAGTCATATGATGCCTTCGGGTAGAGTTTGTCGGTATCGGTATACAATCATGCCACCATTTTTTGGCTACATTAAGCACCAATTAAGCAAAATAGATTAGCGCATATAATATCTTTGACAGGTGACAACTAAAATAATCGTATTTTGAGATCGGTATGCATTTTCACTGACTATCACACTCAGAATATAATAATCTTAGTCCATTAAGTTGACTTTACGCCATAAACATCGTTCAGTACGCAAGGCACTTCAATAGAACTAGGAATAAAAGCGAGAATATTTTATTTGGATTATATACAAAATATAGACATTGGGTCCCCATATACCCAGTAGAAGAAACTCCGTTTCGCCTAACTTCATACCATATCTTTAAGGTACGAATATTTGGCCTGCTATGGTGTGAATCTTTATTAAAAAGGAACGAAATCGATTTATATTTTCCTCTAGCCAACATGTAGCGAATAGAATGAGTTTCATACCTCTTACCCAAAATTAGAACTGAGTAGCTTAAACTAACTTATTTTGCGGTATATTTAATAATATCAACTCTTTGCAGCTATTAATGCAGAGACCATTATGAAAACAAATGTTGTAATATCGACATTTCGAAAAGTTGTAACCACATTTAGAAATTTATTAGCGACGCCTCGTCTTTTGTTGCAGCCATAGCTGTAATATAGCGTTTAAAGTTATTTCGCCTATTCAATCGTTTATGCCTACTAATTAACAAATTCATAGCCAATCAAATATAATATAAAGTACTGTTTTAGAAAGCAATACTTGATATAAGTATACACTATACAATGTGTGGGTGTATCTGCTGTTACAAATTTAATGACTTGTCAGCACTGGCTTGGTTTTTGTAGCTGACATTGATGATAGTTAAAATTTGAGTGCCCTTTGTATTCGTAATAGAGTCGGAAGAATATAAACCCTTCAGCTAATAGCAGGCATATCTCTAAGTAAGTCAGTTTCATTCGTTGGTTAAGAGTTTTTAGCTAATTATAATTAATAATAGTAATCAATTAAGGGACTAACTGACTAAGCTAAATAAGAAAAGCTTACTCGCTCATAAAACAGATACCTAAGGAAAGAAGTATTTTCTTTGACCTAGAAGAAGATTTTTCTTCTTAAACTTGTCTTAAACCTAAAACACTAGAAAAATTTATTATTATGACGAAATTAGAGAAAATGACGGCTTAACATAAATAAGTCGTTTTTGAAAAATTGTCTTACTTCGAAGTGGCTTCAAAAATGGAAATTATTATTAAACATTTTATTTCTTCTATGAACACCTGAAAATATATCTAAGAAGGTCGTGAGAAAATGGCAAGTCCTTTGGTCCAGCCCTTTTGGCTTACGATTTAACTAAAATTGGAAAATTCTTAAAACTGTGCTTATATCTCCGAAACCATTTGCCGGTTCAATGTCAAATTTTCGGATACTATTTTCATGTACATTCGATATACATATGGTATATGCAAAAAACTCGATTTCTTGAAATTCAAAAGCGAATATAACCTCTTAAGCCAACTCACAACGAATTTAGCACTAAATTCTAACTACTAAACTAAAATAATAGTAAAAATTATTTGCAGAAGCAGTATGAATTTGCTTAAAATCTTTAGTCAGTTGCTACAAAACTAGTTTTAATTAGAAATGGTTTTTTTCACATATTGTAATATTTCAACTATTAATTTAATTTAATTTAATTGAAAAATGTGGCAACATTTTTTACTAAAAACCTCCTTTTTGCCATACGTAGTAATACTTTATTTATTTTAAACTCTTATTGAAGAAGATCGGATCACTATAACATATAGCTGCCAAACAATTTGAACGATCGGAATCAAGTTCTTGTAAGGAACCTTTGTATTTGTGAAGGGCGTTATAGCTTCGGTGCAACCGAACTTAACGTTTTTTCTTGTTTTAAATCAAATCAGCATATTCTATACAGGGCACGGGAGAGCATTTCTCCTATCATAGCAGTTCGTTGCAGTTGTCGAATTTTCTACCGCACCTTAATAAATTCCATTAAAAATATAATATTTATGTATCAAGATTGGAAACTGTAGATTAGATACTCCCTTTCAGCTCGTCTGCAACATAGCAGTTTTGCGTTTTTGCTACTCATTCCAAAAATCATTTTGTTAACTACTTCCGTTTCCTGATTTGGCAGGCAACAACTTTTTTGATGATATAGCACTTTCGTTCATCCGACACGAACAGCATACATTCACACACACACGAAACTTGTATTTGCATACGAAGGTAGGTGCGCGCAATTTCGGTAAGTAATTGCTGCGTTTATTACTTGCTACAAATTAGAAAATTGAGTGCGGGTACTCGTGTGTTTTATACGAATGGAAGTGGCACATGCATACATGCCAGTATGCAAGTAGATAGGTATGTTCGCGTGCAAATGGTATGTAGGGCTTGCGCGAAACATTCGCTGTGCAGTTTTACTGGTAACATGCCGCCACTCGATGATTCGATTTGTTGCCTCCTAATTGGTTTGGTATGCTTCGTGGCCTAAATTGATTTATTGCTACTAAGCATGCGAATGCAAAGATTATTTGTAACGGTATAGGGGTTTCTAATTTTCATCTAATTTCAGAAGGAGCATATTTTGAAGACAATAAAATAAATATTGATGAAGATTAAAATTTTTTCGTTTTATTTACAATTTCCGGTAACTTTCTGGTCTTAATGTATTGTATACAATTTTTCCTAAAAGATTTTAATTTCTATTAAAGGCAGTACGTATTCATTAGGGTATTCATTGTTTTTCTAGTTGATTAAAAAAAAAATGTTCAACAGAAAAAAGCTCTTTATTTTCAATTTAAACCCTGTCTAAACCTTTTCACTTTTCTTGTATTTTTATATGGGGTTTTTTAATATTTTGCAATAAATTTTTATTTCCAAAGAAAATAAATTTATAACTTCAAAAAAAATTATATTTTAATACAAAATTTTCCGCTCTATAATAAATGTTGTTTGATTATTTTCATAAAATCATTTCTTACAAAGTTATAAGCAGTTAAAATAATGCATCAAATGTACTGTATTCATATAGTACACCATGTCGTATGAGCAACACAGAATGTATAAATTACTTTGTATGAATGCTCAGGTCATTTGGTGTATAAATTTAACTGCGTATAACTTTTAAAGTTATGCTTTTGTGAAAAAATCATTCAGAACTTTTCGGAGAATTTAAAGTTTTGTACTAGAATATCACTTTTTTAAAGTTATAGATTTACTTGTTTATAAGATTATATATATCTAAAAATCACATGTTACATAGAGGGAAATTTTGTTTGTGTTGGATCCTCAATTCTTTAAAAAAACTGAAAATTCTTGGGGCGTTTGCAAAAGAATAATATACTTGGGTCACAACGAACACACTAGTATTTATATACTAAAATGTACAGCGCTGCTTGAATACTTAGAAAAACGCATATAAATTCATGGCTGTCGTGAGGTACCTACATAGATAAGATACCTACTATAAATAGCTTGTCTTAGCTGTAAAAAGCGTTGATCAATGACGTTTTTAAAAGCACCTTTCGTGTTTTTATATACCATATATTTTGCAGCGAAGTACGATAGGTTAAGGTTATAGATATTTACACATTTTTTACTAAAGTGTAAAAGTTCAGTTTGTTTCTTTCCAAATCATATTTATTTTTTTAATATTAAATTACATGCTCTTAAAATTTCAATAGAATAAGTATATATGTGAATATATATTACCATGTATGACTTAATTACTTATTTGCTCACACATTAAAATGCAGTTAAATAGGCATCCTCAATTTAAACTTAAATGCAATTTAATTAGGTGTAAACCTCCCCATTATGTATAAAAAATAAATAAATTTCCATATACACATATAGCTTACAGGTCTTTTCAATAACTGAATTGAAAATCATGAAAGTTGCTTATTTAAGGAGAAAATTCTGTGGAATTTTATAATAAAAATTGCTTCTTTTCATCTCTACACGCTCACATTTCTTTAATCAATTTTCATCAGAAATTGTGAATGTGTGGGTTGTTCTTGTAAAAATAAGCTTGTAGAAAGTTCAATTAGTTATAGTCATCCTCTGAAAAAGTAACCAGTTTTAATATTTCGGAAGGCAAAACAGAGTCCACTGCACTTGTTCATGTGAGCATATGCGTGTTTTGTCCTTGAGTGCCAGTAATGGTTATGCAATTTTATTGAACATGACCTTA